TTTTAAATAATAATAAAATAATAGAATTATAATAATATAGGTCACATGACTAATGTAAGTCTCCCTCCTATACAGTCCCCCCCCATACAGCCACAGGTTTTATCCGGTCCCGACTGTGTGACTATAGGGGAGGTTGACTGTATTGCGTTATAAAGAACGTTAAGGGCGTATTTATACGTCAGGGGTTTGCGTTATATTATGTACAAGCGGTCCGAGCCAATAATAAATGCGGGATATCCCCGTGACCGATTTGCTGTATCCAATAAAAAAAAGCGTAATCGTGTAACAGCAAAGAAGACAAAAAATGTTGAGACGCGTCTGTCGAGATAGCTCATGTCGGAAAATTGGGTGCATGAATATTTTGATCGCAAGTCCTCCAATTGGAATGTTACAAGTTTTTTGGAAGAATGCGATGCAGAACCGTTTACCAAAAAAATTAATCAATATCTTATTTCTCTCGAGAGCATCATTGATCAGAAGGATGGCAACAGGAGTATAAAAGCGCGAGAGTTGCATAATCGTTATAAACAGGCAAGTTCAAGAATTTTTTTTTTTGATTAAAGAAATATAAATAAGAAATTGGTGGCGCGGCAGGGATCTATGGGATCAAGTCTATGGGACAAGCTACGAATTTAGTGTTGGGGCGCATGCAATCTTCGGGATTGTCTGACGTTCAAGACTTTGGGTCGACTTAGCACTAACCCTATTGGTGCAATAATCTTTGGGATTGTCTGCTGTTCAAGACTTTGGGTCGATCTAAATAGGATTGAAATAGATGGAAATTGTGAAAGATATTAGCTGTGAATATTACTAGTTTACAAAATTTTATGCGTTAGGGCTTTCGACCGGATCGGACTCTCGCTCGAAATTGGAAGAGGGAACATGGAAAAGTGACTAGTGAAATTTTGACTTTGGTTAACGTTTACGGGGATTTACAGAACAGTTCTATAAATGGAAATGTGACGAATACCTCAACTGCCAAACGCAATAAACGTTCATCAAAAGTCGAAAGAGACGTGAGTTCAATTAAGATTAGTCATCAATTTCAAAGTTAATTACATAAAACTGATATACAATTTCTCTTAGGAGGAGAAATTTTCCTCTTCTACTAGAATGATGCTTAGGGAGGTAAAAAGAGTCTGTTACACCGAAGCAGAAACTGATTCCGATTCTTTTGAAGAGGAGCCTAAGAGGGCAAGTAACCATTCAGCATCTCCACAACCTGTACCCAGAACACCACCACAAAGACCTCGGGATTTGAGTTTGTTGATGACGACACCTAATAAACGACCACAGAGAAAGGAAGTCCAACAGTAAGTCACTCTGTCTATGTATTACTCAACGGATGGCAAGTATATACTAATAGTCAAATTTCTCCAGATACTCTGAAGATATTTGTGTAATACTGTAATATGTGCATTTGATAAACCGATTTCAGAGTTGACTTTAGAAATCGGCGAGAATCTCGCTAAGGAACTATGCACTATACGCGATATCAATCCTAAAGTGTGGACATCCGATCTAGAAAACTATATTGACACTGCTCTTAACAATGTCGGAAAAAAGTTTAAAGCCGCCGTATTAGTTGAAGTTCCGGATGAACTCTTTCGATTATATTGTGAAAAAGTATTTATTGACTTGTAAGTAGATTTTAATAATCTGATATTGTTAATCAAAGCCAAACATTGACATTTTAGCTGTCGATAGAAATCCTATGAGCCAAAAATAGGTGAACGCAAATTCATTATAAATCAAATTTCATCGATCTTCAAATTTTATGAAGCAACATTTTTGGATATTGAACTCGACTGAATAGAAAGTCACGCGCGATCTGCGAAATCAATGAAATCCGTCACCAACTCGGGTATCGTTAAAGTAGATTCCAAAGCAACGCGATATTATGATGGCTTGGATATATGGCACATGGAAGTGGCTGGGGGCCATATAATACTACTGATATACACACGATAGGTGACACTAAGATACTACGAACGCCTTTTTTCTACTAAACATAAGGTCTTATAATCGCAGTTTTTCCAAACTGAACACTTCTCATGCTTCCCTTGTTAGTCGTCAAGAGCTTACGCCTAAGGCAGCTTGCTTATAACGAATATAATATTTATTACAAGAGATGAAGCCACCCCAGGGAAGTAGTTCCACTTTCGGTTTTACCCTTCAGCAGTAACAAACTTAAC